CATTGTTTCTTTTAAAAAATAACATATAACAGCCTCAACCGGGCGGCGAAGCCGCCCACATCTGCATCCTCTAGTTCTGCATAAAGTACATAAGTGGATCTAATTGCTGCTCCGAAATGTTCCGAAAAATGGATTTTGGGTGCATAATATGCGCATAATTATAAAAAATATATGCACGTTAAAACGCATGATTTACTTTCGTTGCATGCATTGTAGACTTAGAATCTTCTTAGGTTGAAACGGAATTCCGAATATACTGTAATCCCAAATGTAATCCAAGTTTTTTTTTTTTTTTTTTTTTTGACACAAAATTTAAAAGCAACTAAAGTTGATCATATGGGCCAATCGGCGTATATTGGGCATTGAATAAAGTCACTAAATTTAGTCTAAACCCCTTATTTAATGATTAGAGTGATTGTTATGCAAGAAGGATTTAATGAATATGCATCAAACCCATTAGATTATCTCAAAACCATTAGATTATCGTCTAATTACTAGCCTGATCCTACTGAACAATGCCATTTGTCATGTATTAAAAAATCAACCTTCCGTCTCAAAAATGGTATAGTTAATTGTCTAATGAGCTGTCTGTCAGATAATTGCATTGTCAAATAATCTGTTACATCATCAAAAAGTTTTAGGGTACGGGGTTCTCTCTTCTGCATAGAGTAACACCTTGGCCCATGTGTTCAGTCTATTAGTAAATACATCATTCTTGTGCGCAATAAATCTCAATAACGCATACACAATCGATTCTATATATGTAGAATACATATCGATATCGACATATATGTCGTATGTCTGAATAGAGTTATTGTAGACTTAGAATCTTCTTAGGTTGAACCGGAATTCCGAATGTAATCCAAGTTGACACAACAACTAAAGTTGATTCTAAATTTGACATATACTGTAATAAATCGTTAAAGTCAATAATGTAACAACTTTTACGTAAGTCAACTGCAAATAGTTCACTTTTGAGATTAAGGAATTAGATTGAGCTACGGTCCACAAGATATTGCATACCGAAAATGTGTACAAGGTTGGCGGCGCAGCTCTCCTGAACGATTCAAAACAAACGTTCGTTCTGCCAAAAATCGCACATAGCTCAAAAATCAGCATAAGAAACCACCTTTCGTTCTCTAACAAAAAGTTTTCGTTAAATAATTTTACTACATAAACTCTCCCTCTCTGGCAGTGCCCAGTGTTGTTAAATGGACATGTTCATTGGTAATTGTTACGTCTTTTTATTACACTATTTATCGCATTGAACAATAAACAATATAATAAAAAGGTGTGCCAATTACAAATGAACAAGCCGTTAATTAACAACATTGTTCTCTGGGTCCTAACCTTAACCTTAACGAATTTAAGAATTTTGTCTGCACCGCCAGCCTTGTACACATTTTCGGTATGCCAAGAGATTACATAATACATCATATTTGGTTTATATCACCCTTTTTTCCAGAGCATAACCAAAGACAGGGATATTACTCAACATATAAACCAAATTTATTCTGCACCATATCGACTGATGTTTGAGAATTATTTTTCGGTAAAATTTATTACAAACCGAGTTTTTACAAAAACAGTCTTAAACATACTTTTGAATCCATAATTAAATATATAGAGTATGTAATATCTACGATGGACTAAAAAAGGCCGTTTTCCTGAAAAATTGCATCCGAATTCACCCTTACACACAATACAACCAATCGTTCAATGACAAATCAACCCGAAAATACCCGAACGCTTCAATAACTAGTGATAGTTCTTTCTGTTACAGCTTATAAAGTAGTTGCTTTTTTTAATATTTATTGCTTATTTATCTCATATAGAGACTAAAGAAACTTTTTTTATTAAATGTTTCGTTCGTTATTCTCCATGTCACTTAATAGCAGAAGTTCATGTAACAGGTTATCGAGAAAAAAGACCCCTAAAAATTAAATCGTGCATGTATGCATGAGAATTTAATAAAGAAAAAAAAAATCAAATATATATGAAAATCTTGAAAATAAATCGATCTATTTTCAATAATAATAATAATAATAATAATAATAATAATAATAATAAATTTACGAAACAAAATAATGACCTCTTCAAACATCGAACAAAACGCCTCAATTCAAGACTCGAGAAATGCAAACCTTCCATTTTATTGTATTATTCTTACATTTTTATCTGTGATCGGTGGATTTGAGAATGGAATTAGTACAGGCATTACTAATATACCAGGTATTTATTGTAATATAGTTATTGGATGCGAAGTAGCCAATAACGAGAATTATTTGTAAAATAATTCATTATGTCAGCTTCAGCTTCTGGGTCTCGAAAAGGCCCAGAAATGACACGCTGCCAGATAAACAAATTATTGGCTGCACAGCGTACAATAACAACGATTGTGCTTGCTAAGTAAGCTGCCAAATAACAGTTATTTGGCAGATGATAAGATTTATTTATTTATTATTTTTTATAAACAAAGAACAAGTAATTAGAAATTGTTCAAATGGATATGATCACATACAAGGAGCAGGAGTGCCAGACTGCCTTCCAATGGGAAATTTACTTTGGTAAATCTGTTAATTTTAAGGCTAATCGTTTACCCGTTTAACTGTGTTAACCGTTTAAATTCTGCCCGGAACTATAAACCAATTTTTTTAAACGGCTAAACGATTCCAATCACTAGTTAATTTGTCTGACATTTCGATTTCTACACTCACGAATGGGAACCTATCCGACTCTTATGATCTTTAATATTAGCGTTAGTATTTCATAATCTATGACCAAAAGTCATATGATTATGTGACTAAAGCCATATCCAAAAATGTTATGACTTAGGTCATCGTCCAACACTAGCAACTAATGAAATACTTTAATTATAACCGAACGTATAAAAAATATGTTGTCAGTATTGTAAATACTTAAAGATCAGACGGATTCCATTCGTGAAGGTGCTGAAATACCTGTCCTTTAAAATTACCTAAAATTAATCTAATCATAATGTAAAATAGGGGTTTTGCAGCAGGAGGTCATCCGCTGGGTGCTATTTTTGGAGGTCTCGTTGCGGGTAGTTTACAAACAATGTTTGGTAGGAAGAACACGTTAATATATAATTCCTTTACTTGGATAATCGGTGGTGTACTTATCGGTGCGTCCGTAAATCCTGGGTTGTTTATATGTGGACGTATTATTACTGGGATTGGATCCGGTGTTGGTTCTGTCGTTATTCCGGTACTATCTGAATATATATATATATATATATATTGACAATATTTTGACAATATTTTAACAATAATATCACTTTTTTTAAACCAAGACATATTTGGTTGAAATCTCGACCATAAAGTCACGTGGACTAATTGGTTCCGCTTATCAAGATTCTGTCGTGGCTGGAGTACTTTTTGCTCAATTTATTGGCTTACCATTATCATTTGTTCCTGGCTGGCGCATTCTCTTAACTCTGACGTCAGTAATTGCAATTTTCCAATTGGTATTAATGCCTATTATAATTGTGGAATCCCCAAGATATTTGATTTCACAAAATAAAATTGAAGAGGCAAAAGAAGCATTACAAAAATTAAGAAAAGGATATAATATTGATTTAGAATTTGAAGAAATTCTTCAGGGACAATCCATAAATCAAATTAATGATGTTAATATCGAGACAGGTGATAAACAAAACTCTCTTGTTGACACTAATGATCAACTTAGAATCAAGAAATCGGCTTCATTTAAAGAACTTTTCCAAGACTCATATTGTTGCAGGATGATGTTCGTTGGTATTGGATCAAATGCCGCACAACAACTTTCTGGTATCCAAGGAATCAACTTTTATAGGTAAATTGATCATAATACAGTAATATGTTCTTATCATACGTACATATTTCTAAAATCATTAAATAATTTAACAGTACTGCAATTTTCCTAAATGTCATGGGTGATTCAGCCAAATACATAGCGATAATCATCAGCGGTACAGTCTTAATAGTTACATTAATATCAACGTTTCTGATAGATCGATTGGGAAGAAGACCATTATTATTAACATCTGAGATTGGTGTTACCATTTCATGTTTTCTGATCGTTATTAGCTCTTTATATCAACCTAAGATTCTTATAATCGCATGTAAGAAATCCAAAATTTCAATATAAGTAATTGGAATTATAAGACCTTTCTAATAAATACTTTATCTGTTTTAAAAGTTTTACTCCACGTTATTTCTTTTGGTATCGCTCTTGGAAGTTTACCATACTTTATTATCTCAGGTATGACATTAACAATCTTTGTGGTAAATTTCCTATCAATACGTATTATTCGTATTATTCGTATTATTACGTTATGATTAAATCGATTAAATCACATTTATATATACACATGATTATCAGAGGTTATACCAACACGTTTCGTAAGCTTGGTCGGTCCAATATGTTTAGCTACAAATTGGGCCGGAAATTTTCTTGTGTCCTTCATATTTCCTGTTATGGTAGAGGCTTTAAAAGAATATACCTTCCTCGTGTTTGGTGCAATTACCTTTGTCTTTGTGATCCTTACTTGGTTTTTTGTTCCGGAGGTTTGTCTTTTACTTTTTTATGGAAAGTATTGTAAGCTTGTATATAGTAATTAAATAAATTCTTTTTCTTAGACTAAGGGAAGAAGTATCGAAGAAATAACTTCAGGAAAATAAATAAATTTAAAATTATCAAACCTGAGAATGGCCAGATAGAAATGTCTTTTATATTCAAAAAAAGTAATTTGCTTACTGATTAAAGAATTGATTTAAGTGCGTGAGAGTGAAAACCTGGAAATCGATTTAATGATTTACTATAATCGGTTTCCAGGTTTTCACTCTCACGCACTCATTTGTACTACATAGAAATTCATTGTAAAACTTATGATTACGTATACCAGAAAAGTGTAGAGCGAAAATTTTTGATAGAAATGTTGTGATTATTAAAATTAAGTGATATACGTGATGATTTATAAATAATTTATTTATGAATATTATTATTATGCAGCTTCATGATCAGTTTCATAAACCATTTACTGCTAAGAAAAGTAATTGGCCAATTAAATATAATGATGATTTATAATTATTATGCGATTTCATAAACGCGATTCATAAGCGATTCATAATAATAAGCGAATTAATAGTTAAGGCAAGCAATTGATCAAATTTTACTGGAGATCAAGCAATAACAATTCTATTTTACAGGAGATCAAGCAATACGTATCACATAATTGATTGGATTAAATTTTATGAAATGTTATTATTAATTTTTAATAATCACCAAATCAAAAAAATCCGCCCGCATGACTCATTGGGGTTGCGCCTTAACTAAGTAAATCAAAACTATATATGGTGTAACCGTATCTATTAAGGGTAGATAGGTCGGTGACGATTGTTATGTAAAAACTAAGCAACTTGGGTTTATTTTTCTTTATTATGAAGAATGCAAGCGAAAGCCTAATTAGCTTTCTCTCTCTTTTACATATTTATATCGCATATTGCAATACAATTACTTAATTATGACTCAATACATTTACTTAATTATGACTTCGAATCGAACGTATAGCTATTACGATTCCTAATTACTCAATGTTCGATCATGCTAACGTGATTCCGACCTTACATCATGTTTCACGTGATATACGATCGTTCTGTGAATTTCCGACATGTTCGTTACACGACACGTGCATTGTGCGACGTTCCCTTACATGTGGGGTATATATCGATAAACATCTCAAAATCATGCCATATCAAAAACTTGTAGCGATGTTCGGTACAGGAAAATCATTCGACTTGAAATTACTCTGATTGGATTGTTTGTAGTGAGGTGATTTTTACTTTATAACGCCAAATTAAAAGCAAAAATCTATAAAAGAACATACTCCAGACCGTATTTTATTCAAATTATTATAACGATCGAAAAAAAATGACATCAAAACTTTTAACTGAAGGAATAAAATCTCGAGTTCGTCGCCCGAGTTTATTTTCAAAATTAACAACCATAAATGACGTTATTGAAAGTGGATTTTTTAAGGATGGAATGAGAATGGGATGGGTGAATAGATTATAAATTGATTACGCAAAAATTGTATTATATATTAGAATTTCGATTTTAAACCAAAAATTATTTTCAATAGTCTGGATTCACGGGTGTAGGATATCCAAAAATTACGCCAATAGCGCTTGCAGAATATGTAGAAAAAAATAATCTTCAAGGCAAATTAAAATTTGATCTATTTGTGGGTGCCAGTACTGCCGCTGAAGCAGAGGACAGGTATATATTTATAAAATCGTATGATTTATGATATTCAATTCCTATTTAGCATTAGTATTTATCGTTATGTTGCACATACGTACGTACGTATGTACGTACATATGTACGTACATATGCACGTACGTACGTCAGTACTTCAGGGCAATTTTCAAACTCAACATTTATAAATTTAACTATAACACATGATGTGAAAATTCCGGATTTTTACTTAATGAATGCAAAAAATTAATCAATTCCAGTCAGATTTTTGAAGATCCTCCTGCATGATTTCTTTACTAAAAAAAATATATTAACGTTAACATTATCATATTGCTTTTTGTTCATTTTTCGAATCAAATTTAAAGATGGGCAAAGGTAAATAGTTATTTCTTATTATATCATTAGTATAAAATTTAATAAAATAAATTTGTAAAATTTTACCCTGTTAGAATGGAATGATAGCACGTCGTTATCCATATCAGCTTGGTAGAGTAATTCGAAATGAAATTAATAAAAATCATATAAAATTCGCGGATAAACATCTTTCAGAATTTCCTTTGGTACTTAATTTTTGAATAGCCCTTTTCTTTGCGGTTATTAATGGCATTATTAATTTAGTTAAATTTTATATTTTTAATACAAGGATTTAGTATCTGGTTATTATACGCTTGATAAAAGGGTAAATCCACAATTTTTTGCTTAAATTGTTAGAAATCTATTTTTTAATTTATTTTTATATAAATAGGGTGATAATATGGAAAAACTAGATGTAGCAATCGTTGAGGCAACTGCAATTACAGAAAAAGGACATATCATTCCTGGTGCTTCAGTTGGTGCTACTCCTGAAATTGTCCAATCTGCTTCTAAGATTATTATAGAAGTTAATACTGAATTACCAAGTTTTGAAGGATTACATGATATTACTTCAAGCAAATTTGCTCCTTACAAGTTTCCGAATTTAATTCAAAGAGTTGATGACAGAGTCGGAACGGTATTTATTTATTTCATTTGCTTCTTCGCAAATCCATGTAATTATTTTATTTATTCTTTTTTTATCAAGACTTATATTCCATGTGATTCTGACAAAGTTATTGCGGTTATTGAATCGAAAGAACCTGATCATACAACTGATTGCGAATCCCAGGTAATTCTCTTTTTTTTAAAAAGAATTTTTTTTATTGCATCATATTCAATCATTTTTCGAATTTTTTCTATTCATATTGTTCTTTAGGATGATACATCTCGTCATATTGCCAATCATATTCTTGATTTATTTGAACATGAAGTCGAAATGGGTCGTATGCCAGCGCAACTTCTTCCTCTGCAATCTGGTGTCGGAAATATTGCTAATGCCATAATTGGAGGTCTAGCTGATGGGCCTTTCTCTGATGTTGAAGTATGGACTGAAGTTATTCAAGGTCATTATTTTTATTGTTCATACTACAACAATTTATTTATATATTTGCTACATTGCTATTATTACTATTATTACATAGCAGATTTCAGACTAAAATGTTAAAATCTTTGAAATAGATACATTTCTTGATTTTTGGGAACATCACAAGTTATCTTTCGCTTCAGCCACAAGTGTGGCATTTTCACCGGCTGGATTTAAAAGATTTTATGAAATGTGGGGTGAATTAAAAGATCGTTTAGTTCTTAGAAGTCAAAGTGTTAGTAATTCTCCTGAAATAATTAGAAGGTTAGGTGTTATTGCCATGAATACTCCAATTGAGGTAATATTTTTTTCCTTTGATTTATTTTGTATCGGATACATTTTTTGATTTAAAAATGTTTATAGTTTGACATATATGGACACGCAAACTCAACCCATGTGTGCGGGACAAAAATGTTAAATGGACTTGGTGGTTCGAATGACTTCTTAAGAAATGCAAAGCTCAGTATTGTACATACACCATCTACAAGGCCTACAAAAAAAGATCCTATTGGTAAATAATTTTATATGTTCATATATTCATTCATGATTTATAGTAAGATGATTTAACGAATTTCTTTGACACTTTAAAATGAATATATATATTTTTTAGGCATCTCTTGTATAGTACCAATGTGTTCGCATATCGATCAAACGTATGTACATCTATGAATTAAATTTTCACTACCAATCTTCATAAGTTATAATATTCATGTCAAAATTTTATAAATTATTAGTGAACACGATCTAGATATTCTTGTAACTGAACAAGGACTAGCAGATGTTCGAGGCTTAGCTCCAATTGAGCGAGCACGTGTAATCATTGATAAATGTGCACATCCTAAATATAGACCAATTTTGAATGATTATTTAAATTTGGCAGAAAAAAAATGTTTAAAGATTGGTGCTGCTCATGAACCGCATCTATTGGATAAAGTATTTAAAATGCATTTAAATGTTCTAAGTGAAAATAATACTATGAGAATTGATAGCTGGTAAACTAATTATTTAATAAGTATATAATATAATTTATGAGGCTAGGTTACTGCACTGAATAAGACTTTGGACAATTGTTACTTTTTTTTCATAAAACAGTTTTACAAAACAATTATTATATGTTTTTATTATGTTTTTTTTAAAATTTTCTAAGTTTTTATAGGTTTTGTATATAAAATTTTTAACACCAATTTTTCACGTTAAAGTTAATAATAAGGTTAGGATTAGGGTATTTGGGGTGTTGAGCATTTTTATTTAGAACACCTCACACCGATTAATTAGCCAGTTTTTGAGATCATGTATACATAGTTGTAAAACACCATAGGTAAAATTCTTACAAAATATTTTATCAATTTTGTAAATAAGAGCATGATCTGGGATTATCTTTATAAATTATTTACATATATCAGAAAGAAGTTTATCAAGAGAATTTTCACATTTGTAATTATACATGATGTGGTTAATATATGAAAATATTAAGATATATAAAATATTCTAGGACTTTCTTCTAAAGTATTAATTACATTATTAATGTAATAAAATGCGTTCACGTAATAAAGTGAATATAAAAATAAAATATAATTCGTTCCAATAAGTTGACTGATAGTCATAATTCCTAAAAAATGAATTTTAATATGTGAATACTGATCAGATAGGTAGCTGATATAGATAGCTGATACAGATATAGAGATAAATTAAGCATAACCACCAAGATCATTTACATATATAGAACTTGATTTATTGCTGATACATGCTATTTAATATAATTAAATTTATTGAAAAATTTATCAACTATTGATAGGAAAAAGAAGTTTTTAATAAATCATTTTTTCCCCTCTAGTATTTGTACAATAATATATAACTAATTGCTGGGCATGTTCTAACTTCCATGCATTATTTCAAAAGGAAAAAAATTAATTGTGTATAATTACATCGGTATTGACAGTCATTTTTCTGAAAGTTCATTTAGTCCAGGTATATATAACTTGGTGTGATATTAGCTAAATGAATTGAATTGTGATAGATTTATAATAAAAGACCATTCACGTACGATGTTTAACTTATTTGAGCCATTTGCTAGGAAAATCACTGTGGTATTTGCGAATTTCCTAGCAGATGTCCCATTTGCCGATATATATATATAGTTTAATATAATAATAAAAATCACCGAAAATTCATATAATGCTAATCGTCTTTTTAATAAATGTCGCAGATTAAAATGAAATTAGATTAAAATGAAATTGAAAACCTCTCTTGCTCACTCTTAAAGCTTATAAAACCCACATATACTCTTTTCTTAATAACTCTAACCCTAAACCCTACCTCTAATGCTAAAAAGAACCCCAAAAAATATTCACCAAAAAATTTTAAATTTTCCTTAAAAAATAAAAAATTTCATTTTAATTTGATTTCATTTTAGTCACAATAAATTTAGATTATTATATGATCGACACTGCATGAAAATCTTCAAATTGATAACTTTTTTTTCGTGAATAAATGATTTAGTAATTATTTTTAATACAAGTTGCTTTTTTATAATAAAATAATTAAGCCTAAGATTTTTACTATCTAAAAATCTCTTGTTATAATAATGAACCTCTATATAGTGAATTTATAAATAATAGTGAAAAAATCTTAAGCTTAGTAATTTAATTATAATTAAAGTAATAAGTATTAAAAATAATCTTTTAATAAATTTACTATAATTAAAAAGAGGTTCACTATAACAAGAGATTTATTATTACAAAAGGTTCACTATAACAAGAGATTTTTTTTTAAATAACATATTGACTGTTTTCTATTTATGACATGCAATGACTGTTTTCTATGTTTTTTATTTAATTAGTAGTTCAATTTGCACTACAAAATTTTTTTTTGCATATTATATAGCACAAATTGCACGGCTATTCGTTGATTGCCTCATCTGTAAAACGAATTCCGCACAGAAGTGCGCCAGTACAATTTTAGAAGATTGTACAACTGCCACGATTGCAAATAAAAATTGTTGATACGTTTGTTGCATTTTTTTTTTTTTTTTTTATTAAAAATGGAACCAAAAATTAACGACAATTTTAAACAACTCAATTTCAATGAGTGCAAAAAATGGGCAGATGCAAACGAGCCAGACGGAATCTATTTGCTTGGTTATTGTTACGAATTTGGAATTGGAGTTGAAAAGAATGAAAACGAAGCATTCCGTTACTACAAAATATCCGCAGACCTGAACAATTCCAACGGAATTTATCAAGTTGGATATTGTTATTATTTAGGAATTGGAGTCGAAAAAGATAAACAAAAAGCATTTGAAAATTATTTGAAAGCAGCTGAGGCTGGTAATTCCAATGGGATTTGGAAAACCGCTTGGTGTTACTACTACGGAATTGGCGTGGAAAAGAATCATGATAAGTTTGATGAATGGATTAAAAAGTAAGTTAATTTTTTAATTTTTATTATGTTAAAAATTGTGTATATTTTATACAATTTTAATACCGGTAATTAATTCAATTATCAGGGATTATTTATTAAGCGAGTAAGTGTAAAAAAAACATTTTTTATTAATCATTGGAATTAAAAGCAGCAAAGCAAGTTAACAAATTAAGAACATAAATACTTATTTGCCATTACTATTATGTAATGCCCTTCAAATCATTTCATTTGTATTAATCATTCATTCAGTGAGTGAATATAAAGAACATTTATTAATCATTAAATTAAAAACAGCAAAGTAAGTTCACAAATCAAGAACATAAATACTTATTTACCATTACTATTATGTAATACCCTTCAAATCACTTCATTCTCATTAATCATTCATTCAGCTTGTAAGTATAAAGAACATTTATTAATCATTGGAATTAAAAACAGCAAAGTAAGTTCACAAATCAAGATCATAAATACTAATTTACCATTACTATTATGTAATACCCTTCAAATCATTTCATTCGCATTAACCATTCATTCAGTACGTGAGTATAAAGAACATTTATTAATCATTGAAATTCAAAACAGCAAAGTAAGTTCACAAATCAAGAACATAAATACTTATTTACCATTACTATTATGTAATACCCTTTAAATCATTTTATTCGCATTAATCATTCATTCAGTGAGTGAGTATAAAGAGCATTTATTAATTATTGGAATTAAAAACAGCAAAGCGGTTCACAAATCAAGAACATAAATACTTATTTAACATTACTATTATGTAATACTTTTCAAATTATTTCATTCACATTAATTTAGTCGGTGAGTATAATGAACATTAACATTTGATATAAGTTTAAAAGATGTGAAATTAAAACATTTAAAATTATCACTATATAGTAACTCAAAATACGGAAAATGTGCATATTGTAATGAGGATAACACGCAACCAGCATGGTATCTGTCATGCGATCCTGTCAGAGAAACAAGGTGGACAAGTGGTAATAAGGATATTGATGATTATGTGAAGGAATTTCAACTCAGAGCCCGTGCATATCAGGTTGTAATTGAATGGATTCCATTTAATAAATTATCTGATGTTAAAAAAATCGGTGAAGGTGGATTTGGCTCTGTATATTCAGCAACATGGTTGGATGGCATACGAAAAATTGAAGAAATTGATAACAGTGATGACGATTACTGTAATTATAAAAGATTACGTAAACAATCCAGCACCGTTGCACTCAAGACGTTGGCCAGTTCTAAGGAAAAGGAAAACAAAAGTGATTTTTAAAAAAAGTAAGTTAATTAAACTGCTTTTATAATTTATTTGATAGTCTATTGAGCTAATTCATTGTTTAAACTTTAAGTTTAAACTCTTATGATATGTACATTAAATTTTTTCGCATATGGTCAGCTTGAAGTATATGGATTAACTCAAAATACAGAAACAAATGAATATTTAATGGTATTTCAGCATGCTAATAAGGGGAGTCTTAATAAATATTCAAGAAAAAATTTGTCGGACTTACATGGAAGATTAAATTGCAGATGCTTAAAGAAATTTCAGATAATTTAGATAATATTCACAGATGTGCATATATTCATGCTAATTTTCACATTGGCAACATACTACAAGACCAAAAATCTTATGTCGCCGATTTAGGATTGTCTAAAAAGAAAGACGATTGTGATCCAGAAGGCAATATTTATGGAGTTATGCCCTATGTAGCTCCTGAAGTTTTGTTAGGAGAAAAATTTACACAACCAGCAGATATTTATGGGTTTGGCGTTATTATGGCAGAATTGTCAACTGGACAGAGACCTTTTGATGGGCGTAAATTTAATGCTAAGCTTGGGGCAGATATTTATAAAGGGTTGCGACCAGAATTTACCCCTGGGACTCCTATCTGCTATGTTGAATTGGCAAAGCAATGTATGGATTCTAATCCACAAAAACGGCCTGTTGTTTGGGATGTTTATAAAAAAATTAGTGGTTGGCTTGATAAGTTAAATATTTCAGATGATAATGAAATTAAAAAGCAATTTTTAGATGCTGATAAAGTTATTAAAACATTGCCAATACCGAAGCATCCTGATGAAATGTACACTAGCAAACTTATTAGCACAAAATTAATTTCAAATGAGATTAAAAGTATTTATTTATTTTCAACTAATATATTAATAGAATTATGTATATTTATTTAAAATAATTTTTTTTTTAGATTTGTCGCAAGCGGATTCTGCTCAAATTGTGCTTGATATTACTAAATTTTAAATACTTTGGTATGTATACAAATAATAAATTTTATAATTTAAATTGTATTTTTTAAATAGCATAAAAATTATTCTATTATTATGTCAAAATTTTTTTCTTTACATAATAGTTATAGCACAATTATTGATTAACTAATAGTTGTTATAAAATTTTATTAAATATCTAAAAGTCTAATAGTAAATGTCGGGGATGATGTTGAAATTTGTACAAAGGCCTAAATCCTATCTTTAATAAATATTTAGTATGCAAGAATAGTTCTAAATATAAATAGAAAAATACATAAACAGCAATCTTTACATGG